CTAGCTCAACAAAGACTGCCTATGAAGCCAGGCATGGCGCTCTTATGGTGTAATGGTTAGCACTCTGGACTTTGAATCCAGCGATCCGGGTTCAAATCCCGGTAGGAGCTCGTTTTTGTGCGGCGTTAGAAGCGCGGCATATGGGTGTGGCGCTGGTTGTGGTGTGGGGCTGGTAACTCGCGTTTGAAAGTTTGTTTGCGGAAGGTGAAGTTCGTGCTGGTCTTATGGTGTAATGGTTAGCACTCTGGACTCTGAATCCAGCGATCCGGGTTCAAATCCCGGTAGGACCTCGTTTTGAACCGCTCCTACTGGCACCACCACACCCCCAGTTGTTGCTGCGTTGCACACCTGCCAAACACTTTATCTGCGTCGCGCAGTTGCAATTCAAAGGAGAGGCGCATTTCTCGCTCCACTGCAGACAAGGTAAAACTAATCCATCAGCAGCTTGCCGACCAGCTCAAGTAGGTTCTGTATTAACTTTCTAATACAGATTTACCTACGCGTTAATCTTTTAGCCTATTAATCGCCATCTCCAAAAGCACTCCGAATGAAAGGGCTCCGTCTTGCGCATGGCCTCCGTCCCACAATTCTGATGACAACGCGAAGCTGCGTTCTTCATTCTCTTCAATAATGGAAAGTAGCTCCAACTGAGCTCTCAATAGCTTGTCCAGGTTTGTGTTTATCTTCTCAACCTTGTCCTTCATTTCCACCAGCTCGTCAGTCCTTGCGCGTATCAATTCCCGCGCCAGCGACCTCCCGTCCATCGCTGCGGCGTTTCAGATGCCCCTGAATATTTGCTAAGTGTAAAAATCCGCTGTGGAACACACACCTTTAGTTACGTAGCATACATATTCATGTGGAGTGGACGCAGAAAATTTATCGCTGCACACATGGCGTTTTGCAGAAGTCCCGTTCGAAAGGTCATCGGAACCGCCAAACTCGCTACAAGAAGTGCAAGGCTCGCTTAACTGCTGTAGTCAAAAAGGTGGCTGTGAATGAATATGAACTTACGATACAGAACCAGGTAAGAGCAACGCTTGATACGGTTTTTCAGTAGCTAACGTCTTAA